TTAAGGAACTCTGCTGTTAATCTGCATCAAGTATGACTGGGGCAATTCAAGATTACCCACCCTCTGAAGAAGAGGATGGTATATCTCAATTCTCTGCATGAATTATTATGTGAAGTCTTCTCCTTCCAAACTTGAGGAATGCCCAAAGTAGGAAGTTCAAGCAGAAACATTCCTCTTTGGGGGAGTAATACCGAAGTGTTCCCTCAATGTACGTACGTTAAAAAGATTGCAAAGCTATCAAAAGTTTGCAAAATTCTGGATAAGACAGGCTGACTAAAACAGTACAGGCACTGCTGTCTTGATGACTAGTTCTTTGAAAACTGATCGTGTCCTTTTCTTGCTACCCACAGCCAGTTCCCTCAAATATCCCTTTGGGTTCCTTGTCCACCCCACCCCTGAATTTAAAGCCTCGGCTTAGCACAATTCGACATAAAGTATAGCAACAATTTTCTGTACTTCAAATTGCTAGTTACTGCAGACAAAAAATAGTAAAAACAAAAACAAAGCCCTGTCAGTAGGCCTGCAGACTACAAATCTACAAGCAACCCACTAAGGAGAAAAGGAAAGAAAGGGGATTACGCTACCTTAACTGGTGATTTCCACTGCAAGCATTTCTTGCCAACACTGGAGTTGCTGGGACGCTCCGGCCCTCAAAGCTAGACATGCTTCTGGGGAGGGTGCGACTGGGGCTGTATAAACAGACAAGGGTTCTTTCAAATGAGTGAGTTCAGCTCTTCATGTTTCAAGAGCCACACTGCACACGCACACGTGCACGGACACTGCGCCTTAGACCAAGAGGATGATCCCCGCTTCAAAGAAATGTGCTCCAAGAGCCGGGTCACTCAAAGACAAGTAGCTCAGCTCGGTTTGCAGAAGCAGCTTAAAAGATGCCCTCTCTAAGCTGCCTTTTTTTCTCTTTGTTTTCCTGGGAAGGAAGGATTCAATCACATTTATCCTCGCAAAGCAAGATCTAGTGAGAGACGAAGAGGTATCAGCTGGATGGGATTTTCTACTCCTTCCCTTGTTATCTGTAGTCACTCGTTTCCACTCTTGTTCCTAACCCCAAGTGAAATCGAGACACAACAGGCCAAGCTTACACAGGCAGCTGGGCAAGCCAGAAAACTCTTGAGACAGTGCTATTTCAGACGGTCCTGCTGTGTAGCAAATGTCTGAATTCTTCCCTATGTCAAAAAAAAGAAAAGAAAAAAAGAACTCTCCCTCCCAAACAAAATAGACCACAGGCACTTAGATTCTAGCTTATTTCACTTCTTTTCTCCATTACCTGCAAACCTGGGCAGGAATTATTTTATAAATGAAGTAATAAAAAAGTACATCCCGCAATTTCAGCTGAAGGGGTCGGGCTGGTTCCATCAGCTCATTTTGCCGTGTATGTGAATCAGGCCTCTTAAGGCCACACAAGGCTCAATCAACGTTAACCGCTCAGCACTAGCTGCTTCCCCTCCTTGCTCAGCCCAGCTTCGCGGCATCTTCTGCTAACCTGGTAGGGCTGGCGACAGAGTTCCTGCGGTCCTTGGCCTCACTGTACAGATCTGGCTGCAAAATTCGCCAGCCGGGTCGGCGGTCGGGACTGCTGGAGATGGCACGTAGGTGATCTCGGGCCTTGGGAGGTGAGGACCGGTCTGGGAAAGTTCCCTGATGGTTGGAGATTTTGGAGGGATGGAAGCTGCGAGGGTCATCTGAGGACAGAGCACAGTACATAGGATAGAAGCATCTGGACATCCCTACCTCGGCCAAAATACAACCACCACCACAAAAAGTCCATTAGTCTCAAGACTCTAGATTTTTTTTCTAGATGCCCAACTATCACCTGGTGAAATGGCTCCTAGACATAAACATGTCTATGCAACACACATATACAAAACTAAATTATGGGAGAAACAGCTATGGTGCTAGTTAAATTATCAACTTAGCATTGTATAGGAAGTAAGTAGCTGCTTTGTCCAAGTTACGTATGAGAGTTTCTAAACTATCTATCTTCTACAGACTCATGATCTTGCCTCCCAGTTTTGAGGATAATTCTTGTCTCCCATGCTTAAGCCATCATGAAGCTCAAGAATCCTGGCTCCATGTGATGGTTAAATTAACTCCTAGATCCTGTTTTGAATGCTTATTACAATATTTATATCCTGCTGACCTGGCACTTCTACCCAAACACCTGGCAGTTTATAGTATGTTCATATAAAGCAGACAATTAAAACCATTAAAAATTCATCAATCCTTCCTTTGCATCCAAACTCCCAGAAACATTATAGATTAAAAGCGGTTGAGTAAAGACTGAGAAATATTGTCTCCTGCCACCCACAACTTCATGTGGGTGGGTGGGGGGACTTCAACATCTCAACTTGAGATGTACGCACTGAATAGATTTCTGGGGAGAATTCATGGAGAACTAGATGTCCCTGAAGGAACGGAGATGGCATTGCGGCGGCGATCGATGGCCAGACAGTGAATTCTGGCTGCTGAACTCTCTCCAGAAAAAGGAAAGATTATGAGATTGAGCACAGGTACTCTGGACAGCTGCTTCTCATAAGTAGACTGCAAGAATTGAAGTTTTTGTGGTCGACTTGTGAGTCAAGTGGCTGGGAGTTGAGGGTTTTCAACCAAGCTCACAGCCATAATGTAGCCTATATGTACATAAGGTTCACTGAGCCTCATTTCTTAATCACTTTCAGAAATTGCTTTTTAACTGCTTTTTAGCTATTAGGAACCTTCGCAATGGCAATTTTAGAGCACCGGGTAAGCCTCCTTCAATCCATCACAAAAGAAGTTTTAAAAACAGGTTTAAGGATTTAAAAAATATATATTTTCTTTTGGAACAAACAGCAAAAGGGTAATCAGAACGTTGATTTTGGAAAGTTACGAATCGACTAAGGGTCCAGATGGATTTGAAATAAGATTTTGAAATTAATTATAAGAATCTGTCCTGTGGGAAAATGCTGTTGTTTTGAATTCTTAAAAAAAAAAACATGATAGGATGGGACTTTGAAGACTGGACACTAGAGGGAATCAGAGGGAACTAAAGATTACAATTAAAGGAGAACAACACTCAAATTTGACTTACTAATACAGAATGGAGCAAAATACTTTAACATCGGACGTATTGAAGAATATTTGTGAACAATGGACCCAGAAATTAATTTTAAAAATATCTGCCATTATAGACTGACAGTGTTTAAAATATGTTATGGAAGAGGAATAAGTTTTACTGGACAAGACTGAGACTGATTTGAAAGTGGATTAAAAAATGACGGTCTACAAGAACGATATGGAAAAAGATGCTACGCTGGATATACAAATGAAACTGGCTGATGTCTCAATAACTGAAAGAGTGGCCTGGACAACTTTTCTATATTGGATTTACAAAAGAGCAGTTTTGAAGGATTTTGTGAGAAGGGACAAAGAAAAAATGAAAAGAAATTATACAATATTTGAAGGGATTAAAGATCAAGATTGCTAAAAGTAAAAAGAAGGAATATAAAGTTGGTTTATTTGATCAAGGTTAAAATAGATATGCTGTTATCTCTGGTAACCCTTAATGGATCTTTGCTGACCAGGACTGAGCAACGAGGCTTTAAGGATTTGATTATAGATAAGAGATGGGATATGGGAGGAAGAGATCATCTGCTGTATTTTAAGACAAGTTACTAAAATTGTTTATACTTGTTGTTATAAAGGGAAAAGTAATTTCTTTGTATATTTCTTTTCTTTTTTTTACTGTATTTATTTATTCTTTCTTTTCTATTTTTCCCTTTTCTGCACTTTCTATTTTTCTTTTTCTTTTAGTTTATATTAGCTCTTATCTTTTTAATTGTAATATTTAGTAAAATTACTATTAAAAAAAAGATGTACACACTGAGCAGTTGGTTCCACTTGGAAAAGATGGTCCCAGAATTACCTAGGTACTGAGCGGTATAGTTTTAACATTCAAAACCAGGCTTTAACATTCAAAACCAGCCCCTTGAACGGTATTCAGAAGACCACTGGCAATACAGGGCCTGCAACAGTGCTATGTAATTACAGTAGTTTTCAGCTGCCAATAGGAGGGCTGCTGCATTTTGTATCAATGGTAGCGTCCAGGTAGTCTTCAAAAGCAGCCCCACACGCAACGCATTGCAGTAATCCATGCTAGTGCTAAGGGCATGAGTAACCGTCTCCAAAGTCTCCCCTCCAGGTACAGTCGTAACTATACGGTAAGGCAAAATACTAGCCTTATATTCTCTCAAATCATGCATTAAATGAGTCGTCCCCATACACACACACACACACACACACACACACACACACACAGAGCCCGTGTGCTTTTATATCAGCCTGTTGGTTGGTAAGAGTCATT